GACAAGGGGCGAAGATACGTCGACGCATTTGGAGGGATTGCTACGGTGTGTTGCGGCCATTGTCATCCTGATGTAGTGGAAGCAATCGTCAATCAAACCAAGCGCTTGCAGCACTCCACTATTCTTTACCTCAACCATACCATCGCTGATTTCGCCGAGGCCCTTGGAAACAAGTTACCTGGCAATCTCAAGGTGATTACTTGTTACTTGCTCAAATTATGACTCAAATGGGGGGTTTTCTTCTTTTCTTTTTTGAAATGAATTTGGAGTTCAAGAATGCACGAGGAATTTTTATTTATTTTACGTTGGTCGTTGTAATATGACGTATATATGGGTTTCTTTTGGTGTCAGTGTCTTTCTTCTTTCTTTGTATCGTAAACTGGGCTTCTGTTTTGTGCCTATGTAGGTGGTATTCTTTACAAATTCAGGGACCGAAGCAAATGAGTTGGCAATGATGATGGCAAGATTATATACAGGATGCCATGACATAATATCATTGAGGAATGCATATCATGGGAATGCTTTGGGGACCATGGGAGCTACTTCCCAAAGTATTTGGAAGTTCAATGTTATACAGGTGTGTGGCTCTTTTTCTATTTGTATATTCTTGAAATATTTATTGCTTCTCTAGTGTTGGCCTAGATATCCGTGTCTGATTACAGTTGTTAAAGATGAGAAAACTTAAGGTAGGTGGTGATTAGGACACACTGATGCCATAACTTTGACAATGGTAGCTGGCAAACCATGCCGTATGATTGCAGCAAGTTCTGATACAAAGACAAGAGAACACTTCAACAAGGCTCTCTCCATTTTTCGTTCTTTTCTCTTCAGAAGGATGGGTATTTATGTAATGTTTGATAATTGGCATCTTTAGTACAAAATACATGTACATATATTGAATCTAAAGTAGAAATAATTAAAAGCCAGATCAACCTAATTGTCTAACCATGCCCAATCTAGTCCTTATATTTTGTTCACTGCATATAACCCAACGTAAACATAAGCATGCCTTACTCATAAATATGTACATCAGAGTGGAGTTCATCATGCTGTAAACCCAGATCCGTACCGCGGTGTCTTTGGTTCTGATGGAGAGAAGTATGCAAGGGATGTCCCAGATCTTATCCAGTTTGGAACTTCTGGCAACATTGCTGGTTTCATTTCTGAAGCCATACAAGTAATCACCAATATTTGGCGTCTCCTTTGATCAAATTTTCATGATTTCCTAGTGAAGACACCATCACCTAACATTCCATGTTTTCATTGACAGGGAGTTGGCGGAATCATAGAATTGGCCCCAGGTTACTTGCCTGCTGTTTATAGCACCATAAAGAAAGCTGGAGGTCTTTGCATCGCCGATGAGGTTCAGGCTGGGTTTGCTCGCACAGGGAGCCACTTCTGGGGATTTGAAAACCATGGGGTCGTGCCTGACATAGTGACAATGGCAAAGGTTATTATAAATTCTCTCATTTTCTTAGTTATGAAAATCTCCTAGCCGCCTCCCTTGTGCAAGATGTGCATTATAACAGCGATCTCACTCTCATTTACTTGCATCTAACTTCTGTGCATCGACATGTTTCTTTTACCACATGGACAGGGCATTGGAAATGGCATTCCTCTGGGAGCTGTGGTAACGACCCCTGAGATTGCGGCGGTCTTGACTCGCAGATGTTACTTCAATACCTTTGGTGGGAACCCTGTATGTACCGCTGCCGGGTTAGCTGTCCTAAAAGTAATTGAAAAAGAAAAGCTTCAGGAAAATGCATTTGTTGTTGGGACCTATTTGAAAGAGAGACTAACCGCACTAAAAGATAAATACGACTGTAAGATCTCATCGTTTCTCCTCCTTTAAACATTCTCTAAACCAATGATGACTGATATTGCCTGATTGCACCATATATGTCTGCAGTGATTGGTGATGTGAGAGGAAGAGGGTTAATGCTCGGAGTCGAACTCGTCACTGATCGGAAGCTCAAGACTCCTGCAACGCTCGAAACTCTTCATATAATGGACCAGCTGAAAGGTTAGGGTACTTCCAATCCCCACACTAATCATATACCCTAGAATGTACTTCGCTTAACGCAGCTAACAAACCTATTTTCGCATTCTTCTAGAAACCGGAGTATTGGTAGGGAAAGGTGGAATTTATGGCAATGTATTTAGAATCACACCCCCTCTCTGCTTCACCAAGGGAGATGCAGGTAGGTGCCCCTTCTTCGGACCGTTATCGAACCGTCCGGTACGGTCCTGTTTCTAACGAACGATAATTTCTTGTTGCAGATTTCCTTGTAGATGCGATGGATCACATCATGGGGAAGATGTAAAGCATCCGACTTAAAATGAGAATGAAGATGCCTCTATATGGCTCTTCAGTGGTATATCATAAGCGTCTCTATTGTAAGTGAAGAAATGATAAATACAAATAGGTTTCTGTTTCAATAAAAAAAAGCTTAAAAAGGATTGGTAGCAATGGTTTTGAAACATGCTATTTATTTATGAGTCAATACCTTTCAAAGTATTCAATGCCTTCAAGGCCATTTTGAATTTTTGCCAAATGCATTGCTTGTTTAGCATGTGTTTATTGCAATTTTGAAAGGGTAAATTATGTGTTTAGTACCTAAACTATCAGTTTGGTCCGTTTTAGTATCTAAACTTTCAATTTTTTCAAAACCATGCCTAAAGTTTAGTTTTTGTTTCATTTTAGTTCCTGCCGTTAAAAACTTTTTGTTTTTGTTTCATTTTAGTACATGTTCAAAATTTAACGTTAAGTTTTGAAAAAAATTGAAGGTTTATGTATTAAAATGGACTAAAACTAATAGTTCAAGTACTCAATGTGTTAAGTTTTTAATGGTGTGTACTAAAATGAAATGAAAACTAAATATTAGGTATGATTTTGAAAAAAATGAAAATTTAAGTATTAAAACTGACCAAAAGTGATAGTTAGATACTAAATTCATAATTTACCCATTTTGAAACAGTTTGGTAAAGATCTATTGCTTGAGGTTCAATTTGCAATTGTTTAATTCTTATGTTCGGGGTGAATTCATATTCATACTGTCACTGGACTACACCCAATTACCCATTATATTTAAAGGGTAAATTGTGTATTTAGTATCTAAACTATCAATTTTGGTCAATTTTAGTATCTAAACTTTTAATTTTTTTAAAATCATGCTTAAATTTTTGTTTTTATTTCATTTTAGTACTCGCTGTTAAAAACGTCACGCATTTAGTACCTAAATTATCATTTTTGGTCTATTTTAGTAACTAAACTTTAATTTTTTTTTCCAAAACTTAACGTTATATTTTGAATGGGATAATAAAATGAAACAAAAACTAAAGTTTTTAACGGCGGGTACTAAAATGAAACAAAAATTAAACTTTAAGTATGATTTTGAAAAAATTAAAAATTAAAATACTAAAACAAATCAAAACTATTAGTTTAGTTACTAAATACGTAATTTACTTTATATTTTAAACATGTTAGATTAAATATACGCCTGGACTTGTATTTCATTACCTTTTTTTAATAATTCTGGTTAAATTATAATGATACGATACTTTGAGGTTGTAAAATGTCATCACTAAGGATTCAAATAGTGATCTAGTAGTAGAACAACGATTGCTATATAGTGATAGTGACGGCACTCGAAATTGTAATTACGATAAAGAATTGTGTGAAGCAGAATTACATTAATAATGGCATGTTGTGTCCGAAATTTAACGGGTAACGATCAATTGTGACAATAATGAATCTCTATTCTAACTATTGTTTCACTATTCTATTTTTTTTTTAAAAATAGTTCTTTTCTTTAAAAAATTCTCTTTTAAAAGAATTCGCAATAGTAATAACATAATCATAATAAACACAATGCGACCGAAAACGACATATAATCTCTATATTATAGTGGTAAGTTTTGCTCATATAATATACCTTTGTCGCAGTACAAGTAACTTTGCTAAATACCATTCAGCTTAGTGACTACTGCTAACAGGTTAACCAACCAACCACTAATTTAATTGATCATTACCAAACTACACTGAATTTAAATTAGTATTTAATATTATGATAATAGTATTTTTTTCGTTTCTTAAATATTTTAAATAAAATAATTATAAGTTATTATTTGAGGATTGAGTATGAAACTACCGATCAGTATATAAATAATTTTTCACTTCATCCACATTTTAAGTATGATAAAATTTAGTTATAAATATACCAAATTTATCAAAGAAATAAAAATAAAATGTAAAAGCACCTAATTACAAAAATAATTAGAATTTATGTTTTGAAATTATATTCTTATAAAATTGTAATTGACCTTAATCTTTTTTAAAAAAAAAATTAAAAAAATTCATGAAATCATTATAAAATGTAAAACACCTCTATTTTTTAAAACTTCACTTAATCCTAAACTAAATCTATTTTTAAAAAAAACCTTTATAGAATTATTTAGAAGTTTTTCATAGTTTTATGAACATTTAAATTTTTTAAAGTAATTAAACAAATTTAATTTTGAAAACATATTGTCCATTTTAGTACATAAACTTTCATTTTTTTTAAATTATAGCTAACATTTAGTTTTTATTTCATTTTAGTATCTCATCGTTAAAAGCTTAATGTGTTTAGTACCTAAACTATTAGTTATGGTCCGTTTTAGTACATAAACTTTTAGTTTTTTCAAAACTTAACTTTAAATTTTGAACGAAGATACTAAATGAAACAAAAAAAATAAAGTTTTTAAATACGAGATATTAAAATTAAACAAAAACTAAATTTTAGGTATGATTTTGAAAATATTAAAAAGTAGATACTAAAATGGAACAAAAGTGATAGTTTAAATACTAAACGCGGAATTTACCGAATAAAAATATACACTAACGAACGCAACAACACTGGAACGACAAAATCCTTATTTGAGAGTTGAGATGCCTCTCTGTTTCTTTCTTTCTCTTGTGCCGCCGGTGTTGTACGCGCCACCACAATCGCTGCCGCCTCCGTAGCCTAGGGTTTGTTTCAGGATTCGGAATCTTCTCTTGTCGCTTATTGTTTCGCTGCTCAGCTTTCCGAGCTGGATTCTATCTCTTTCCTCAGGCGAATCTCCATGCGCCGCTGGTTCAGCGGCTTTGTCGATTAAGTCACTTACTCTTCTTCTTCTCTCTCTCTCTCTCTTTCTTGCTTTCATTCCTCGATCAGTTTCAAGAAGAAAGGATAGAGTTGTCTCGTGGGGGAATTTTGTTTCTTATTAATTAAATTTTCTTCCGAGGGCTTTGTTTGCTTCTTGTATCATTTGGGGAGTTGATTTGGATGGCAATGGCCTATCTGATGACGTCACAATTTGCTCAATTGTCGTTGGCGGTATCAAATCATGTAACGGACGGCAATGGAAGCTTTGGCGACTACCATGAGGTTGCTGCTTCTGCTGACCTGGCCTCTCAAATGAGGGATTTGATACTGCATCCACTGGAAATATTCGGATTTGGAAAGTTTATACAACCAGGGGCAAGCAGAACTAGTTACTGCATTTTCTTCAATTCAAGGTCACAAACCTGGTGTGCGGAGTTTGAGTGCTGTTGTGGACTGGCAGAAGCAGTCTGGATATCTAGTACGTATTTTTCTAAAAATATCATCTCTAAAAGGTTTTCCTTGATTATAATTTGATGCCTAATGTATTATTATTCATTTCTATGATGTCATAGGACTAGTATGCATCTGGAGAGAGATCATCCATCTGGATAAGGAGCAGGTTGTTAATTCAATACCATCATCCTCAGATTGCAATGTCTCAGCATTGGTGAGTCAACTCTGCATTTATATCTAGTTCTTGCTTAAGCGATCATATTGAGCATGCTTGTATATATGCTAGTGGCAATAGGTACTTATCAAAGAACTTTTGTTGAAGGTACAACTTTGGAACTTACTGCATAGTGCATATAACCATCCGGTTGACAAATAAGAAGCATGCTCTAATGGAATATGTTCTATTCGTATGGATGGTTTCCTGAATATTAAGTGGGCCAAAATATAAATTGAAAGGAGGTTATTTTTGCTATGGTTATGTGTTAGATGGCACGAATCGTACCTTCCTTAGCATTTAATTTAATTTAATATGTTTCTAAAGTTTGACATGTTTAAGAAGGTAGCTGTTGTGTTGCTTTTTTGTTTGTTTGTTTATATTTCAGTTTAGTTTATCTGTAACATGCTTTATAACAAGGAGTGGGCAATTGCATCCCATTCTTGCTGCAAAATTAAAGAAGCGTGTGATTTTCTTCACTGATTCCTTTCCTGCACTGTTACAGGCTTCTTCTCAAGTTCATGCCGGTCAATTTGCTGCTGGTTTTTTTTATGGTTCTATCAGACTATATGATATCCGGACACCTGACATGTAAGCACTCCATAATGAATTTCTCGGTCTTTTATAAGAAAATGAACAAGTTTCTGAGCTTTTACCTCTTTATGATATTATCTTGAGCTTTGAATGACAAGACTTTCCCCATTGTTAAATTCAACTTTCCTGATTAAATTGTCATTATTTTGAGCTTTGAACGATTTGACTTCCTTGTAGTTAAATTCAACTTTCCTCATTAAAAGGTTCCTGTGACCTTATCTTTTAAACAGCTATAGTTTCCTATCCCATAATCAACTTTGTCAACTAACGGAAGTGAACCAGTTTTCTATTAGTTTCCTATCCCATGATTCTTAACACCCCACTTCTATTTTATTACTTGCTGCTGTCTATTTTCAGAAGAAAATGCTATCTCACGCTCTCATCCAAGTTTTCCCATTTGACTAGGAGATTATTGTTATAATGATTTAGGTTGGTTCGTGCAACAAGACCGCATTCCCAGCAAGTCGAGAGAGTTGTAGGTATTGGCTTTCAACCAGGACTGGATCGAGGAAAGGTAAGCAACTCGCAGTCCTTGTGTTTGATTTAAGGTTTTGATCGAAGCTCCAGTAAAGCTTGGTGACATTTTTACGTTTTTTCAGATTGTTAGTGCTTCCCAGGCTGGTGATATTCAGTTCCTTGATATTAGAAATCAAAGAGATACTTACCTCACAATCAATGCGCACAAAGTCTTCAGTCTAGAAGGCGAACAACTAGGCATCATTAGGTACCAACATACTTTCATGACCCAGAAGATTGATTCTGTGAGCTGTCTTACTTACCATCCCTACCAAGTATTGCTTGCTGCTGGTGCTGCCGATGCCTGCGTTTCCATCTATGCAGACGGCAGTTCTCAGACAAGATAAGCATCAATCCTTTCCCAATTTCATGAACTCTGGACGCAATGCACGGTAGACGATACAATGTCTGCACAAATTTCATGGAGTCGAGGTCAGTAAACCTGTAAATGATGACTTCCACATTTAGAATGTCACAATGCCTGTTCCTGGAAATTCTAGGGGGTGTGCGATCTGCTCTGATTGTGTTGTTATTTATATAGAGGGGTTTATATATATCTATATATTCATTAGCCCCCGGTGTAGATTGTCTAACGCATGTTTGGGGGGGGGGGGGGAAGAATCCTAACCTGCAGTGGGGGCTTTGGCAAATAATTTGTTATTATAAGTGAATTCATTGTAAATAGTTTTCCCATTATTATTTCATCTTTTTCAGTGTGTTCATTGTTCCGTCTCTCTTTTTTTTTAACATACTTTGCATTATCATAGTTTATGGATCCCATATGCTACTCATAAAATTATCTAATATAAAAACTGTATAAACTAGTACGAATCAAATTACCTCAGTAGTTAAAGGAATGGTTATTATTCCTATAGATTATGGGTTCATGTACCGATGAATATAGTAGGGTGATTGAACGTTCATTGTCAAATGGTTAAAAGTATTTAGAACACATTCATCTTAACTTAATAAAAAAATGAATAAATTATAAAGTTTACCCACTTTTACCTATTTAATCCTTTAAATGTAAAACCTTAAATTCTAAATTTTAAATCTAAACTCTAAACAAATTTTTAAATAAAATATAACATTAAATTAAATAGGTTTGTGTTAATTAAAATTTACATTATTTTCTAAAATTAAACACTTATTCTAAGATATACGAATCAAATTACCTTAATGGTTAAACGAATGATTATTATTTTTAGAGATTTCTGGTTCGAGCATTAACGGTTGCAGTAAGGCTGATTAAACATTCATTGCCTGCTGATCTTTCATGTTTTGGACCCTTTTATTGAATTTGGATACGCGATTTGCGTTCAGAGATAGTTCTCTCACAAAGTTCATCTCTGATTTACGATTGTCGGTGGTCTTTCAGTAGTTTGATCCACTATTGTGGTTCGTTTACTGATATAATTAGATTTATTTGTATTTATATTTTGTTCGAGTTTTTTGGATGTATTTTTAATCTTTTCTCTTTTATGATCCTTATATGATCTCGAGTGTTTAGTTTCTTATATCAATGATTATATTTTGACTTAATGGTATCTAAGGAAAATGATCATTGATAATCACAAATCAGAATCGATCGTCGTGAAAAAACTATCTCTAAGCGCAAATCGTATATCCATGTCCAAATCTATTTTGATGAACACATAGTTGATCAGGTATCAAAGAGAAAATTTTATGGCACTAAACAAAACTATTTGATAGATATATATTTCAATATTTGAATTAAAAAAAATGGGAACAAATTAATACTTAAATCAATCGAAAGGAATCACCTTAACTGAAGAATCACCAGAACTACACAGATGAATCTAAAAGACAATTCCATGTCCATGTTCATATGAACATATATTATTACCACAAAATGTAAGCATCTCTACTTCCTTTCACCAACCATGCTTTGGGTAGAACTAGAAGAACTATGGCTCTTCATCTTAAGTCTTCCACCTCCATTTCCAAGCACATTCAAATCCTCAAACAATCTGTAGGGAGGAATGTAAGGCTTCTCTGCCAACATCGGAGTCCCCCAAGCATCACCATTGCTTGCGTTCATGGCGAACGAATCACACATATTTGCACCAGTGAAATAGCCTGGAGTGTTTGCCCATTTTGGGAGTGGATATGTGTATGGATGATACTGAGTTTGCTGGCCTAAAACCAGTGGATTTGAGTGGTTTTGTGGCTGGTATTGTGGTTGAACTTGAGGCTGAGCCCATGGAACAATGTAGCTGTCGTATGGCAGTGGTCCATGAGGGACCTGAACCGGATGGTTCATGTTTTGGTGAATCGCAGGTGGTGGAGAAATAGGGTTATGGGGTGGTGAAGCTGATGATGATGATGACAATGTCACGGTTAGAGCATCGATCAGTTCTTGCTCTTTTGTGGTGGTTTCTTGTGGGGCTGAATCCGATGACAAAGCTAATGCTTTGCAAAGATCATCAGTGGCTGAACCAGATGGCTCGTATGAAGTTGTCGTCACAATCGGTTCATTGACCAGCACGAGAGAGTCCTTTGTTCCGGCAGATGTGCTCTGAGATGACCTCGACTCTCGTCTCGAACACCTGAAATACGTATCGGAATGTTAACCGAGCAACACTCGTATTCGAGACATATTCAGACACACCTAGTATGTACCATGTAGGATGGAATAGAGGAATTAGAATATGAAACCTTCTAGTTAGCTGCGCCAAATCTTCTTCGTCTTCTTCGATCAGGTTTCTTGTCACAAAAGTAACACCCGCAGGTTGACGGATATTCGACGGTGGGCTTGAGTTCTTTGCCTCGTTCGATATTTCGACTGCAATCGCTTCGGTTGGCTTGGAGCTTACGCTAGTAGTAACTTGAATTGTACCTGAACATATGGATTCATGCTTGGCAAGTAAGCTTTGCAGACCATCATTTAGCTCAAGGCCCCTAGCTAATAGTTTCTCATCCCTGCCACACGACATCCAATACGAATTCGTAAGCATGAAAATAACCAAATTGATATCGACATAAAATAACAACGCGAAAAATAAGATTTCGAATAATGAACATCAATACTAACCCAGTATTTGTAAGCATCTGCATCAGCCTTTTTTGGTTAGAATGACACTGGTTGACAATATCAACTATTACTTCATCTTTCACTGCCTACACATACAAAAACTAAAGATGATCAAAATTAAATAAGAGAAAAGATTAGATTTTGTCAAATTAAAGGGTAAATTATGCATTTAGTAACTAAACTATTAGTTTTGGTCCGTTTTAGTATCTAAATTTTCAAGTTTTTCAAAATCGTACCTAAAGTTGAGTTTTTGTTTCATTTAGTACATGTCATCAAAAACTCTAGTTTTTGTTTTATTTTAGTGCCCCGTTCAAAATTTAACATTAATTTTAAAAAAAAAATAAAGGATAGGTACTAAAGTGGGCCAAAACTGATATTTTAGGTGCCAAAATGTCTTAAGTTTTTAACGACGGGTGTACTAAAATGAAATAAAAACTATATATGAGGTATGATTTTGAAAATAAAACAAAAGTTTAGATAAGAAACCAGATCAAAACTAATAGTTTAACTACTAAATGCATAATTTACCCAAAATTAAATTCCATTTTTGTTCTTACAGAATGGTCCCTAGGGTTTACAGCCTGGAGCATGTCACCTAGGAGATCCATAGCATCCTTTATAGAGTCCAAGCTATACAAACCAAGATAACCAGAAGGCAAATTTTAGACAAAAAAGCATTAATGCAAAAACTCTGTAACTACACAAATGTATATAGGGAGAACCTAGGTGGTGGGGCATATCGCTTCTCCCTAAAAATCTAAAATTACCATATATTTTAGATTTTTTTATATATTTTCTATTAAAAATTTATTTTTACCCCTAAAATTTTATAAGTTTAAATTAGTCCCCTAACATAAAATCTTGTGTTGTCCCTGAATGCATACCTTAAATTTTCAATGTGAGTGGCCATTGTTTCTTCTTCAACCCTTTTAGAAGAACTGCTTGGCGTTCCATTAGCAGGATGACGCTTAGCCAGTGGTGCAATGATAGGGACCGCATTCGCCGACGGCTCGGGAAATGATACGCCTGAACGCTGCCATTTATGCACTTGTATAATTTTACTGCTTTTTCAAAACATTATATAGATATAACAAATATTATACCGCCATTTTATAAGTTTGACAAAAAACAAAATATAATTAGAGTAAAGTACATCAATGGTCGCCCGACTGTTCATTATATTCTAAACTCATCATTTCCCGTTAAAAATTTGACGACTATTCAAGTTGTACGTTAACATGCTAATTAAGATATGATAAAATCAGATCTCATAATCTCAAACGACTATCATATCTCGGTCAACATGTTAACGTTTAGCTCTGGTGATTGTTAAATTTTTAAGGAAAAAAGACAATTTTGGAATGTAATAAATAGTCGAATGACCATTTTGTAACTTTTAATAGTCGAGGGATTCAAAAAAACAACTACATATAATTGGGGATCATTTTATAAATTTTAATAGTCAAGAGACTTAAATAAAATAGTATCATATAATTAAAGGATCATTTGTGTATATTACCCATAAAATTGTAACATCGCTAAGAGTGTAAATGAATTGGGTTTGGTGTTTAACGCTAAGTTTGTGTTCGATTTGTTTTTTTATTTTTTTTTTTAAGTGTTTGGATCGTATTCGTTTAACTTTCATTAACATATTCGTTTAGCCTTCTCGAGCATATTCATTTATATGCTTCAAGCTTCCTCACTAACACTCTCTTTTTATCCTTTTATTTGCAAGCTAAAGAAAAATGGTGAAATTATGTCACTACTCCTTAATTTCCTTAGGCTTCACAATTTGTACTCCAAAGTTCATCATGTATTCAATTCAGTCCCTATATTCATTAATATTTTAAAATGTAAAATAAAAGGAAAAAGAGAGTCGGATAACCAAGTTTCTTCATGAACATAAATGAATCGAAAATACCTATATTCGTGTTTTGTTCGTTTATTGAATGAAAATAAAAGTTTTATTCATACTCATTTATTTAACTTAATAAAAATATGTTATATGAACGATTTACGACCAATTCATCAAATAATATGATCATTTATACTCCTAAACATCATATTGTTTCTATCCGGGGCGGATGCACTAAGCCTCTAAGGGGTCAAGTTCATCCCTATTATTTTGAAAAAATTGTAAAAATTAGCTTATTATATTAAAGAGAAAAAAAAAATATACCCAAATTTTTTTTAATAAAAAAAATTGTACTAAAATTTTGGACCTCGTTTAAATTTTTTTAGATCCGTCGCTACTGTTATCGGGTGTTGGGGTTACCTTTAGCTCTTGATATGCCCAATAATACTGAGGATGTTCACCAGTACGACCACCGAATTCCTCCTGCCATGACTCTAACAATCCCAATATTTTATTCCTCACTCTTGCATCTGCCTGCACAAACTTACCATTCCATTTAGATAATATAGTAATTACATGACATCTAAACTTTTGCAATGTTTTCAATACAAACATAACACAAAATGATGTAAATATAATATAGGGTAACGTACACAAATGGTCCCCGGACTATAGGATGTTATTTTGTTGAGTCCTCTGATTATTAAAAGTTACAAAATGGTCTTTCGACTATAGGACGTTGCTTTGTTGAGTCATTCGACTATTAGAAGTTACAAAATGGTCACCCAATGATTCAATTATGTTCCAAATTCGTCATTTTCTATTAAAAATTTAACAATAATATAAGCTGGATGTTAATATGTTGTCTGAGATACGGTAAAATTTGATCCCAAAATCTCAAACGACCATCATATCTCAGACAACATATTAATATTCAGCTCAGACAATCGTCAATTTTTAACAAAATAAATGATGAGTTTGGAACATAATGAATAGTCGGGTGACCATTTTGTAACTTCTAATAGTCGATGGACTTAACAAAGCAACGTCCTATAGTCGGAGGACCATTTTGTAACTTTTAATAGTCAAATGATTCAACAAAACATTATGCTATAGTGAGGGGTTATTTGAATACTTTACCCTATAATATAATGCTTTTAAAAACAATTCTCTTTAATATGAAACAAATTTACCTTCTTTTTCACAATTTTGATCATATCCCGCAATACTTCTCTTTCATCAATCTGATAATGGACAAAGTCTCCACAATTCTTCACCATCATCTCCAAAAGCTACAAAATTAATTAATCCATATCAAATATCCATCTCCAAAAAAGAGGGTAAACTACATATTTAGTACCTAAAGTATCACTTTTATTCTATTTTAATACCTAAATTTTTATTTTTTTCAAAACCATACCTAACATTTACTTTTTATTTTATTTTAGTACCCATAATTAACTTTTCGTTTTAGTACCCCCGCTATTAACTTTTTGTTTTATTTTAGTCCCTAATTTTTTAACGTCGGAGTACTAAAACAAAACAAAAATTTAAATGTTAGGTATGATTTAAAAATAAAAGTTTAGGTACTAAAACGAAACAAAAATAATAGTTTATGTATTAAATGTGTACGTTACCCATAAAATTATTTAAACTCCAATAATTAAAAGTTACCGTCAAAGCAAGTAATTGCACTTTAAAATTCTTGTGTTGCAACCTTCTTTTCACTGCCTTTACAAAATCCTTTCTTTGCCTGCAAATTCACATCCACATGTCAGTGTCACCCATTAGAAACCCTTTAAGCACCTATTTTTAATTTTTTTTAAAAGATTATAAATAGACATAATGATAAAAAAAAAGTATCACTAATATTTGATTAAATAATCACTTTGATCTTTTTGTGTGTGGGGGGCATTTTGACCTTCAACATTTTATTTTAGGACAAAAAGTTCATCTGTATGTGGAAACTGTTAGTCAACAAACGATTAACACTCCACAATAGGGGTGTTTTTCCCTAAAATGAAACGTTGAGGACAAAATGCTCCAAAAAGAAAGAATAAAGACTAAAATGACTATTTAGTCAAACATTAATATTTTTATTCTAAAATGAAACGTTTGAAGTTAAAATATTCTAGAAAAAAATAAGAGGTAAAATAAAACGTTAGTTTTTTTTTTACATTATATCGTGCGAATAACTAAACTTTTTGATATGTTGCATTAAATATTTAACATATAAATTTATACAGGATAATAAATTAAAGGGTAACACTAGATACCATCCAACTTTAGGCGTTACATCATTTATACCATTAAAATTTTAATTTTATCAATTATAACACTAAACTTTGATTTTTGTTTCAATTATACCATTGGCCGTTAAATTGTTAATAGTTGGATCAAAACGATGTCGTTTTGGTGATGAGTCTATGTCGACAACCATCAGCCACATCATCGTACCGTTAATAATTTAATGGTTTAGAGGTATAATTGAAATGGAAATCAAAATTCAGTGTTATAATGGCAAAATTTAAAGTTCGGTGGTATAAACGATAAAATGCTTAAAGTTCGGTGGTATCTTACGTAGTTTACCCTAATTAAATATAAATCCAAGAACTAACTATCAACGTAAGAGCAGCATGCACGTGAAAATTAAGAAATAAATGAAATCAAATCCAAACCCTATTTTTTAAAAGAAAAGACAACAAAATTTTACCTGGGATTAGAATTAAGAGAATCACAAATATTAATGTTGAGAGTCCAATCGGGAGTGTTTAAAAGCTCGCTGGTCGCCTTGTCGACTGCCACTGTTGCAGCTGACGATGGAAGTGGTTGCAGTATCATCATCTTTCCGTTTGTTTCCCGAGAAAATTCCACCAAAAGGAACAACAACCTCCGAATTTTCCCCAGAAAGCACACACACCACCTTTTCCTTACCCTCTGTTTGAATGCCTAGAAGAAGAAAAACATTAAAGTGAAATTCTTTCTTGGTCTTCTTTGCTTTGTTTGTAATTAATTATCAGTGGGAATAATGCATTTTTTCCTTTATTGCTATTATTTTTATTCATGCCTGGTGAATACAGCGTTAGCAAATTAGAAGGAGCGTTCGAATCAATTAATATAATGACACTCACTTTACATTACTAAAAAAAGAAGTTCATTTTCCCCACTTTTCTATCAAACTTCTGGCTATAATCTTGTCCTCTGTTTTTGTTGAACTTTTGGTTAAAAATTATCCTCGTGTTATGTATTGACAATTTATAAATGCAATGTTTAATATATATAAACTATCAATTTTGATCCGTTTTAGTACCAAAAAATTTAATTTTTCAAAACTACACTTAAAATTTAGTTTTTGTTTCATTTTAGTACTTGCGTTCAAAATTTAACGTTAAGTTTCGAAAAAATTGAAAGTTCAGGTACTAAAACGGTCAAAACTGATAGTTTAGGTACTAAACACGTTAAGTTTTTAACGACTGGTACTAAAATGAAATAAAAACTAAACGTTTGATATGATTTTAAAAAAATTAAAAGTTTAAATACTAAAAGATATCATAACTAATAGTTTGGGTACTAAATGCATAGTTTACCCTTTATAAATTTATAAAATAACAATTTTATCATGATACACTCTCAAATATTCTACATTTTTTTGTCAATTCAGTGTTTAGATTAAGAACAATAAAATATAAAATGTAGCCAAATCATCCCAAAGGAAATTAAATTAATAAGTCGTGGAGGCATAATAATAAAAAAATTCAGGGTAAACTACATATTTAATCACCGATTTATTCTTGTGGTTTCATCTTGATCATCCAATTACTTTTTTAAATCAAACCTGAAAATTAACAACGATGTTCACGTGTCACTATAAAATAATGTCATATTAACGCTGAAAAAATAGAAAAAATATCATGTCAGCAACTCTATTTATTTTTTCACTGACAAGCAACCAAAACATATAATTATATATGATTTAAAAAGAATAGTTGAGAGACTAAAATAAAACCGCTAAAATAGGCGGGTAGATAAATAAATAGTTTACCCAAAAGTTTATTTAGAGAAAGGTTTATTACTATTATTTGTTGGACTTAATTTAATTTCGATAGAATAATTATTATTAAATGATTATTCACCATAAAATTTGTGATATTAAGTTCAAAATTTAACACAAACACCTAATATATTGATTCGATCCAGATGTTACAATCAAATTCAAAATGTCACGTTAGTTATCAAGACGACATAAAAAAATAGTTCAAAATATTTTAATTGATATATAAACAAAATTTACAAATAATTTACTCAATATTACTCAATCTTCAAAAAAAAATTTAACTAAGTATATTAATATGTTCTATATATTATTCAAGTTTCATGCTAATAATTATCATATAATTTAGAGTTCAAAATGTTGAATTATATATTATTATCACATAAAAACACTATGAATTATTCATATTGTCCTATGTCACATTTTAAAAAATATAATATAGTAGAGTAAATTTTTATGAAGGGTTTTGACTTAGAGGGTATTCATTGTTTTTTTTTTCTTTCTGAATTAATCATTGATATTAGTAGGGATGGTCATGGATCGATTTCTAGTCCATCTGATCCAACCTGAAAACTTTATACCTTCAACCCAAAACTCGATATGACTCTAGTTCAGAGTAATTTAATTCGACCTGAAATCCGACCCGAGTTTAGATTAATTCAATTATTGAATTATTTTTGATAAATTTGGGGTGAATATAAAATAATACTTGTTCAAAAACTTTTAATCATTTGACAATAAATGTTTATATCTTACATACACGTTGCTCCGATTTGGAATCTCAAAAAATAATTACAATTTCTCACTCAGTAAGATCACTTGATTAATGCCAAGTATTGAATTTTTTTTTGAAAGACAATTATTGAATATTTGTACAAACATAAAAGGTTGTATGTTGTTATATCAGTTTTATTTAAGGTTGAGTTTGTTGTTTATATGTTATAATTTGGATCCTATAAATATAAAATATATTGATTATTATATTCGACTCGAATAGTTTTTGGGTAACTTAAAAAAGTAATATATTAAAATTTAATTATTAATATTATCATATATATATATATATATATATATATATGTTTTTTTAAATATAGTATAAGGTTTTCAAGAACTTAAGGTTTAAGTTTGAGCTTGAGTTTAAGATTGAACCGAGCTAGAATTTGAGCTTCAACTAAGCTAAGTCTAAAAATATTTCGAGTTCATTTTTAATTTTGATTCGAGCTTGTTTTGAATTCCTAAAAAAAAGTAAATTTTAGACTTAAGCGACATTGTTTTGATTAGAATACGATCATATCATTACGCCGTTAATTATGTAATGGCGGAATGACAAATAAAATCAATTTATAAAGTTCAGTGAGTAAAATGAAAACATTAAAAATACTATGAGTGAAATAGGAGAGAGTAAAATTTGATTACCAAACGTGTAGTTTACCCTTTTATTAATGTAGGACAATTTCGTTTACATTTTAAATGTATTTTTCACCAAACAGCCCTTCTCTTTCTTTTCTGCGTCTCTCCTTCCGACTAAAATTTATTTATTTAACATTTTCACAAGAGATGAACGCTTCAAATGATTTTAATGATAAAAGAAAATTTGTATAAAATTTTTATACTCTTGACCCTAATTTATTTTTCTTTAATTTCAGCCCAATTTCAAGAGTTTTGACCGTTTTAGTCGCATTAGCAGAAGATGCTTCTTACAAAAAAACGTACATCAATTCAAAAAATAATCTAAAATAGATACCAAATTAAAAAATATATTGTAAAATAAAGTATACTTGGATAGAGAAAAACTTCTTAAATTTACAAATTCATTTATTCACTCGATGCGAAATATTTTGCCCGAATTAATGAAATCTAACTTTGATAATTAAGCACGATCAAAACGATCTCAATAGTAAATGAATTGTTGTTGTTTTTTGAGGTCTCGGATAGCTCGTTTGGAAACAAACCACATGAATCTCTTTAAGAAACTTGTTTATGATTTTGATTTTGCAGGGGACAACGTGGAGAGACTGTCTAAGATTTGAATCCGGTGTGGACAGGGATGGAGCTAAGATATTAATTTGAGGGTGCAAAGTATAATAGTTTTAAAGTGGAGGGGGCAACTTGTTAGATTCAATTTGAGGGGGCCCTCCACGTCCACTTAGTTCCATCACAGAGTGTGGACAACGTTCCTTTGTTTTAGGAAGTTCTGTTATTATATTCAATGTTGGAACCTTTTGATTATAATATAGTGTTCGTAATCTCACTCAGGTATTGGGAAAAAACAAAATTCATTGGGTTTATATTTGGATCTAAGGCAGACTATGCATTTAGTAATTAAAGTTTTTAATTTTGATCCGTTTTAGTATCTAAACTTTTAATCTTTTTTAAAACCATATCTGACATTTAGTTTTATTTCATTTTAGTACATACTGTTAAAAACTTAACAATTTTAATACATAAATTATCAGTTTTGGTCTGTTTTAATACTTAAACTTTCAATTTTTTCAAAACTTAACGTTAAATTTAGAATGAAATACTAAAATGAAACAAAAACCGATAATTTAATTATTAAACACGTAATTTAACCTTATATATTTTTTTTGTTCTTTGTAGGTTTTTTCATAGTTGGGTTTTCTAAATATTTCATCTTTGGGTTTCATAAAGCTTTTAAGCACATGTAATCTTCATTTATGAGTTTTTTTAATCTTCCTTTATTTGAAACTACTTTAGATCTGATTTTTCCTAAAGTTTTTCTTTTCATAGGTTTAAATATTAAAACTGATTAAAATTGATAGTTTACATATGCGTAGTTTAATTTTGATTTTTTTAAAAATTAAAATTGATAATTTAGATACTAAATAATTAATTTATCCTTAATTTAACATTAAGTTTTTAAAAATATTAAAAATTAGATTCTAAAACGAATCAAAATTAATAATTTAGATACTAAACACATAATTTACCTTTAATTTTTTTAGTAATAAATAATTAAAATAAAATCAGAATATAATTTTAAAAAATAAATAATTGGGTGAAAAAAATCCGAAGAATAGTTAAGTAAATATGTAATTTACTCATTAATTAATATTTCGATTAACGCCATTTTCGCTGATCTCGTAGGTCAAAAAACGTAAACCAGAGTGAAAGAGAAAAACAAGGCATTTGTTGCTCAACACCAAAAGCCAAACTCCACCAGCTTTTGCATTTTTCTCTATTTTAGATGTTCCTCTGCACCTCGCTCGGATCTCAAATCATCAATAATAGCTTTTCGTCTTCTCCTGTTTCAGGCATTGGGATCCATTATCGAGATCCCTGGGCTTTAAACTGCCTTCCTCTTTTTCTCCTAGTTATCGTACGAACCCAGAATTTCTCCCTTCACATGTAGCTGTTCCGATGATCATTATCTGAATTACTTGCTGTTCCGATATTTTGTACTTCATTTCTGGATTGCCCTTTTGTTGTTATCTTACGAAACGACGATGGCGAACTTAGCAGATCAGCTAAGTCGGGGAATCTCCCGCCAGTTTTCGACCGGGTCGTTAAAACAGAGTTTCAACCGGCAGTTCACGCGGCAGGCATCACTCGACCCTCGGAAGAAAAACCAAAGGTTCAGCTTCGGACGGCAGTCGTCGCTCGACCCAATCAGGCGGAGTCCCGTCCATGATGAGATGGCGGTGCCGGAGAACCTTGACACGACCATGCAGCTGTTGTTCATGGCGTGTAGAGGGGACGTCAAGGGAGTAGAGGATTTGTTGAATGAAGGCGTTGACGTTAATAGTATTGATTTGGATGGCCGTACTGCTTTGCACATCGCTTCTTGTGAAGGCCATGTTGAGGTTGTTAAGCTTCTTCTTGTTAGGAAGGCCAATATTGATGCCCGTGATCGTTGGGGTAGCACGGTACTCTTCTTCTTCTTCTTCTGTTGTTCCTTCCTTTAGTTGTTCAAAATCGAATGATGGGGAATAAGACTCATTTGCAGTTTCAATGGTAATATAATTCATCTCTGTTGGTTGGTTTTGTTAATAAAATTTATGGGTTTCGAACTAGAAAGTTCAATGATTCTGTGCAAGTTTGAAAACGATCTGCTGCTTGGATTTGGAAAACTAAGATGAATACTCTATGGAGAAAAAAGAGGCAGATAAATGCGCTTAAGTTTGAGTTTTAATGCCAGCCCCTAAATTCTAATTCTAATTTTAACTTCCTTGATGATACTGCATATGACAGATTACGTATGAAATGCAGTTTGATTTATGATGACGTGAACGCATATTGAGCATTCTAGTAAATTTATTTTTTGTATGGGCAGGCAGCTGCGGATGCTAAGTATTATGGAAATATGGAGGTCTACAATATTTTGAAGGCCCGTGGGGCTAAAGTTCCTGTATGACATGAAGCTTTCTTCTTCAATTTAAATTTCATTTCTGTCTATTATTGCAATTTATGCATGTATGATGATTGATATTTACACATATTCTATGATATTAGAAAATCAGGAATACGCCAATGACAGTTTCTAATCCTAAAGAAGTTCCTGAGTACGAACTTAATCCCTTGGAGCTTCAAGTTCGGAAGTCCGATGGTATAACAAAGGTATGGTTCTTTAAATTTATTTTTACTGCATTGATTCTTTTAGACATTCATGTATGGTCCAATGTGAAAGGGGATCAGGTTGATCTGTTGATAGTATCTTATGTTTCATGTATTCCGCTGGGAAAGGATTAGGCTAGGCTTCTTTTGCTAGATTTGGATCTGTTTTCTATTCAGATTCGATTTCAAGAGGCATTATGCTTCTTGCTAGATAAGTGAGCATTTTTTTCTTAAGGTCAATAGTGGTTTATTTGGCATTATATGGATGTCACATGTATTCTTATGGTCTCTGCATTTTCATAATTTGTTAAAACAATCTGTTATCTTATATTCTTGGTGGCAATCCATTTTAGATTGCCAAGACGGACTCAAGATTGAGGTTTTTCTTTAATTTCACGGCACAGCTTGGAACTTTTCAATCAGATATAAAATAGTTTGCTTTCTTCATAATTTTACATGAAGAAATGTATTTTACTCTTCACTACCTCCCGCAAATTTTCACCAAACTGTTGCTCCTTTGAGCAGCCTTTGTTGTAGACGTGACTGACTTTTAGGTAGCCACAATTTTTGTCTCTGGGCTTGATGCACACTGCACAGATTTGCAGCTTGATGAATTTGTATTTATCGTTTCAAAGTTTAGATGCTCTTTGTTCTTTTTATATTCTTATACACACACAATCGTACATGTATGTGTGTGTATAAGAATTAAAAAAACACAGAATATATTGATAGATTGTTAACATTCATAAATCACTTGTCAGGGATCATATCAAGTTGCAAAATGGAATGGCACGAAGGTTGCTGTAAAGATACTAGACACGGATAGCTATTCAGATCCTGAGATCATGTATGCACTTACTTTGTTTTCTTTTTGATGTGTTTGACTTATGTGAATCAACATACATATGTTATTTACTTATTGACATCAGTCATTTATACTTTCTGTTACTGTGCACATTCCTTTTCTATGTACACTTTCTTGGTATTCAGTGCCCCTCATTCATCATGCTATATGCTGGTTCTTATTTATCTATGCCTCAATAAATTTGTTTGTTTCTTGTCATGTTTATGTCTAGAATTACTCATATCTTCTTTTGCCGCTTTTATGCTTGTTTTTATGGGCCATGCAAATAAGTTTGTATATGAATGCTTCAAAAGGTTGACTGGAGAAATTGTACTTTTTCCAACATGTATATAGCTCAAGAACTGGGGTAAGAAACAAGTATGTTTGCTGATTTTCTTTCAGCAAATAAGTTATGCGGTCTAAATTCCAACAAGAAGAAACTACAGGATATTTATTGGGAGCAGCAATAACCTAATATAGCTCTAGTCCTGATAGAATTAATACTGAACAAAGCTGCTGTAAACAGCTTTCTAACAGCCTTGTACTAGAGTGATTTTATGTAAAATTTTGATGTACTTTTTACCAATTGTGCACTTCCATTTATTCGTATCACTTTCTTCTTTTAGTTTAATTAGGGAATATGCCTTTGAGTTCCTTCAATCATTTTTTATCTGGTATAATGGCACCAGCTGTACTAAATGCATTCAGTACAAATTTTGAGGTTACATGGTTAAGTAGATGATTTTGTTGTCTCAACTTCTATGGAGATTAGGACATACTTTTTTTTTGTTACTTTACATTTATTGTTTTCTGAGTGCTGTATGATTTTTCTAATTATCGTTAAAGGATGTTAAGATTTTATTTTACCAATTTTCTTGCGGAGCCTAATACAACCATATATTTTATATGGGTGTGTATGCACTCTTTAACAGAAATGATTTCAAGCATGAGCTAACTTTGCTAGAAAAAGTTCGACATCCTAATGTGGTTCAATTTGTTGGAGCTGTTACACAAAATTTTCCCATGATGATTGTTTCTGAGTATCCTTCAAAAGTAAGCATCTCTCTCCCTCTCCCCTCCGGCCCAACTCTTGTTCTTCTTGCTGCTTGCCTCTTGACTATATTGCTTGTATTTATGTTCTGTTAATTTGTCTATTTTATCTGTATTTGTGCATGCTTCTGTGTGAAATAGTAATTGAAGAGAGACACAGCCAATTACATAGAAAAAAAGAAAAAAGAAAAGTGAGATGACTAAACAATTAAGATTTCCCTAAAGGCCTAAAAGTTTTCTCCCGTATAGTTTAGGTGGTGCCGGAATTTAAAATGAATAAACAGAACAACTGACACTAGGTAGTGGAAAAGATTAGAATGTGTGTACATTTTGTTAACAAGATCACTGTATATTGCCTGTGTGGTGAATTGAAGAATTGAGTAACGACTATCCATTGCCTAGAGTGGCTCCCTAATTAATGAAATTAGCCTCAACCATCTTCAGTTACTTATTGATTCAACTTTGTTTTCTTTGTACTGCATTTCTACACTAGAGCTTTTGATATGTTTTATGCATCCTTGCAATGGTGTGTACTTTAAGCTTTTCCAGTATGGTTCCTTTATTTGGTTATAGAAATGTGTTCTACGCCTAGATACTGTTCCATCAGCTTAGTTTTCTTTGTGCAGAGAAAGTATTGTGTTTTAGTTTTACTTACCAAATTAACATTACTACGGTGATTGTCCTTATTTTAGGGTGATTTGGGAAGCTACTTTCATAAGAAAGGGCGTCTATCACCATCCAAAGTGTTAAGATTTGCTCTTGACGTTGCCAGGCATGTGCTTTCTTTGGATTATACTTCAAGAACTGTTTTTGTTATTGTCACTTTGATCAACATTAGTCCTATTTTTCTCCTAAGCTAAACTCGGATGTTAATGTTTGGAATATGCTTGTTCTTCTATACTTTAACATCCTTTATACAATAGTGCATGGAACTGCTTCAAGTATTTTATTTCTCCTGGTTATTCACTTTATTGACTGTTATTTTCTTGATATCAGGGGAATGAATTACCTTCATGAGTGTAAACCAGAGCCAATTATTCACTGCAATTTAAGGACAAAGTAAGGCAACCACTGCAGAAGTTGACATAATGCTTGCGGAAATGGCAAGTGATCATTCTTTATAGTACTCATTGTGATATACTGTTCTTTAATATTGGAAATTTGGTAAGGTTCCAGAAACATTTTGATGGATAGTGGAGGTCATTTGAAGGTATCTGGATTCGGTTTGTTGAGATTGACAAGAATAGCACCTGACAAGGCAAAATTAGCACATCCAAACAAACATTTTGATCCGAAAAGTATGTTTGTGGAAAAAAAAAGAAAACGTTTTCTTTGGATGTGTACAAGTATTATACATTTGTTCTTTCTGCTAATGGTAAAACTGTGACTGATAATTTGTTTTCTCTGATTACAGATATATATGCGGCACCTGAGCTTTATAAAAATTTGGTATTGGATCGAAGTGTTGATTCATATTCCTTCGGTGTCATTCTATACGAGGTACATGGTTTCTCTGAAGTTTGTTATCAACTGACATAAATGAAAGTTCCATTCTGACTAAAGGAAGTAAACTGCCTCCAATAGTTTAATTCCTTGTTTCTTGCTGACATCTTGCAGATAATGAATGTGATTTTCTTTTTTTTTTTTAACAAAGAATTATGCTCAACTGCTGCCCAGATTGTGATAATTTCTCCTGTAATTTTTTCTGCATGTGTGGTAGTTTGAGTGAGATTTATGAGAGTAGTCAAGGTGGGGAATTTTTGGTAGGGGGTCGAGGGGAGTAATTGTTCAGACAATTAAAGATGCTTTTTTGTTGAATAATCGGTATTAACCACTTTTTCTGTTTTATTCTTGTATGAATTTAGATGATCGAAGGAGTAGTGCCTTTTCATCCCAAACCTGCTGAAGAGATTTTGAGATTGATGTGTTTGGACAATAGAAGACCATCATTCAAGTCAAAGTCAAAAAGTTATCCTCCAGACTTAAAAGAGTGAGTTTCGGGTTTGAAATGAAAATGTGTTTTTTTTTACCTCAGGTTAGGTTATTGAATTAATGATTGTGTTATGTTTGTATGGGTTGTATTATGTTTCTTACTCATTTAATTGAAAAGAAAAACTCATTTGTGTGTATGTCCTTTTCAGAAGAAATAAGCAGAGTGCATCCTAAGCCTTATCTTGTACAGAAATATGCACATGAAATATACTCGAAGCTTTACTACATTATAATGTATGAACAGGTTAATTGAAGAATGTTGGGCTAAAGAACCTGTTGTTAGACCGACGTTTTCAGAGATCATTGTACGATTAGACAAAATAGTTGCCAACTGCTCAAAACATGGGCGGTGGAAAGATGCTTTCAAGCTTCCATGGTATGCTTCTGTTACCGATCTTCACTCTGAGACAGTTTTTATATGTTACATATGAATGAAATGTTGTTAAAATTCTTCGTCATATCATGAGCATACCCAATGTTTACTGCTAAGGCTTCTATTTCAAGGCTGTTCCTGTGCTATGTTTCTGATTAAGATGCTGTCTGAATTCTGATTGTTAATATCGATTCGTCGCTAGTACAATGAAATGGATTATTTACTATAGAAGCAAATTCCAGTGTCAGTTTTGTTAATCATACAACAATAGTTAATGGAGGGAGGTAGAAATCAGTTTGATTTCGGTATTGTCGATTGGAACTTCTATTACTAACTTCATTATGTGTGAGTTGAAGCCATGTATATATATGTAGACGGCATTTCCATGCATGCGCCCATAGTAGGATCTTCTACATGAGAAGCTCAAGTTGCAATAGACAAGTTCACTCAAACATGCACACACATTATATATTCATTACGTATTCGAAATGAGAAGTTCAATTTTGATACACAAGGACACACATGCACCCCCCCCCAAGTTAACGATCAAGGGTTGAATGGAGAAAACTTGTTGGCGCCTTGTCTTACCGAAGTAGGCCAGCATAGGATACAAAAATATCTTGTACTGGGAAAATGGAAGCTCACATTTAGTTTTTAAAGCATTAGATCCATAGATAAAGATTCCTTGGTAAATGCTGTTATTCCATAATTCTGAAGTTTCCTTCATAATCTAACCAGATATGATCGGCATTGGATTCTTTACAGGAAATAAGGGGAGGGGAAACAGAAAATCGGATGAAGATTTCGAGGGAATATGATCTCGGATTTTTTAAACTTCATCATATTAAATATTTTAAAGTATAAAATCCTGTTGAAATTATTAGAAGCAGAAAGGAAGTGATTTTCATTCTGTCTGTCCAGGAGCTGGAACAGTTCCTGCGAAAAATTACAAATTGAGGGAATTGATGTACTTATTATGGCCTTTGGTGGCCTTGACAATAAATTTTTAGTTTTAGTTTTGAGAATTTAATGTTTGAGTTGCTTTTATAATGCTTTCAAATCTGGCCTTTTTTTCAATTTTTTTTGGACTCCAATTAAATTAATGAAAATAATTATCACTTGTTTAGGTGATATTATCGTGATGAAAAAAAGGTAAAATTCAAATTATACTTTCAATTTTTCTTCCAAATTAAATAAACAAATTAAATTTATAAAATTATTAAATATTATAAGTAAAAGAATTTATTTTTTTTCTGTAAATACTTATCTAATCCATAATTATTTATTGAGATCTCGACTTCGAACATTGTATATGTCAAGTGTGAGAATGTTTAATGTTAAATGTATGAAAGTTATCTTCGAACAGACACTGCTTTTTATTTATCCCATATTAATAAAAAAATAATGCAATAACTAACTAATATTTTTCGATTAGATTTTTGCAAATAATGCTTATTTGTCTTAAAAAAAAAGGAAGACTTATTGCCGATGAGTGTTGGCACAAGTGGTTGGAATTCAAGAATTTGAGTTTGTAAAGCCAATTTCGAATTTTACCATCGTCACTCTTAGTGGGTAATCTGTAAATTCCTATGTAAATCTTAATTGAATTTTATATATGCCATGGTCCTGGACTGATGGAGCCATCCGTTACCTAAACTTTTATGTAAAAAAAGAAAAGAAAAAGAAGAAGACTTATTTAGTTTGTAATATACACAATGCATGGGCCTACGATATATACATTATGGATAAGAAAACATTTCAACTAAAAAGTAGGCATTATAGTTTTCAAGTAATTAAGAATAAAGATTATATATTCAATAAGTTTATAATTTTTATACCATTATTTAATTAATTTGAAAATAAATATTATTTGTACGAATGAAGTGATTTTAATGGTTAAAAAATAATTTTTATCAGGTCTCAAGTTCAAGCAGATCTACGGGGGTTGTGAGTTTTATTATCAAATATTTAAGAGTTTTCTGATTAGATGATATATTGTAATCACTCAGATTATTATGTTAATCAAACACAATATCTACAAGGTTAATTAAATATTTATTGTAGAATGATTGAATCTTTTCGACAGATACTGAGATTAATAAAAAATTATAATTAAATTTAAATAATAATTATGTACTCGTATTTTTTTTAAATTTTGTTCTTAATTTTCACAGTGATCAGTTTAAAAATATTTCTTTATTCTCTCGGTCCAACTTACCAATGCCAAAATCAACAATACATGTCAAAAGCAGCAGCCACATCAGTCAAGATAAAATAGTCAAAGGAATCGACGGTTCACACTGCCCTTAATTACACCGGCGTTGCAGAGTAATTTTTCACTCTAGCCCCTCTTAAACCCTCCAATTTTCTCCCAAATATAATTCCCCTGCCTTAATTTATTTTCCATTTTTTTCTTGCATTTGAGCTCTTAATTTCCTTCTTGTGATTGTTCCGAAATATTATAATCTTATCTCTCGCATGAACACTGTAAGTAAAACGTCTTTTTATCAGCAATTCATTTGTTTCTTCTTGTTGTTGAATTTTGCTGCTTCCAGGTTTATTATTGCAACCTTTAGTGTTTTTAGTCGAATCCGTGATGAGCTATGAATATCGGATATATGTTATTGTCTTCTATATTTCCCGTTGTAATTTTTCAATTTCCAGTTTCAAACGAAGTGAGAATTTATTTCGGTGTTGTTTGGATTGTTTTCCTTGATGCGAATAGAGAACTGAAGTGATATAAGAAAATAATCGATGAAATGATTATCGACTGATTTATTTCTATATTTTTATTATTATTTTGTGATAATAAACTTATGGTAGTATTCTGCGCTGTTCATGAATAAATATTTGTTATTTTTTTAATCCAGTTTCAATTTTTTGAATAAATATTTATGAGCTGGTTGTAATTCTTTTTTTTGTTATTTTTCTAGTTACTATTCCTTTATTTGTTAATTATCAGCCTTGATCTGAATAAGAAGTCTAATTTTACTTGAGCAATCCTAATATTGACTCCTTGACTGATGCGATCCAATTCAAGGATTAATTATAATTTTCTTTCGGATATTGACATTATTCTTAATTTTTTTTGTTTTATGATTTTGTTGGCTTTTGTAGTATATTGTGATGAAATAATACCAAAACTTTGTTTATTGTTCATCCTCTTGTAGGTATGCTGTTCTTTATTTGAAACGTTATCTCCACCAGGTTAACTGACTGGTTGTTCGAGGAAGGTGAATGTCCTGTCCACAAGAAAAACAATTGACAATGGCTTCTAGAGCAATTTTAAGGAGGAGAAGATTTGTTTCTGATTACCTGCATTCGTCGTTATGCCCAATCCAGACCTTCCAGTTTCTTGGCCATCCAACTCAGAAGTTGGAATTATGTGGTTATATATCTAATGTGGACCATTCATCTGAAGATTTTAATCATCCAAAGAAACTGGATGTAAATTCAGTTGTGCAACAGGGTTTACTGGGTTTTTCAAGATCAGGATACTTTAGATATAAATCTCAGGGAATCTCAGTTTTGAGTCCTGGAAGTAGAAGATTCCAATTCAATTCTCCACTGAGTGTCAGATTGAAGGCGTATTCTGTTCGGTGTGCCTCAACAGCTATTGCTAGACAACCTGAACCTGGTAGTGATGATGAGGGAAATGAAGAATTAGTTGCAAAAAGGAGAAAGGAAGCATCTGCAGAAGAATGTGATCAAGCTGTTGAAGGTTTGAGTACTGCTAAATCGAAAGCCAAAGCTAAACACTCGCAAGATTCTCAGAAGGTTGTCAAATCCATTTTGCAAAGAGTATGGGCCACAGTTCTTCGGATTGGTCCTGCTTTAAGAGCTGTAGCTTCAATGAGCAGGTAAAACTTTATCCTTTAATTTTTTTTCAATAATATAAATAACTGAATTAACTTGATTCATATTGATGTTTGGTTTACTGCATATTTGTTATTCTATTGCTTTTTACAGGGAAGATTGGGCAAAGAAACTTGTTCATTGGAAACATGAAATTCGCTCTACTTTGCAACACTACTGGTTGGTTTTTAAGCTACTTTGGGCTGATGTGAGGATCAGCTCACGATTGCTGCTAAAGCTGGCTGGTGGTAGAAGTTTATCTAGAAGGGAGAGACAACAACTGACTCGAATTACTGCCGATATCTTTAGGCTAGTTCCATTTGCAGTTTTTATCATAGTTCCATTCATGGAATTTCTTCTGCCTGTTTTCTTGAAACTGTTCCCTAACATGCTGCCATCTACTTTTCAAGACAAGATGAAAGAATAGGTAGAGAGGCATTTTTCAATTTTTGCTTGCTTTTATGGTTAATTTGATTTATAACGCTTTGCTGTTCAAGCTTTATTCTTTAAGTACTTTTTCCTCTTTTTAGAAATTAGAACCTCTCATGTTAAAGCCAGAACCATTGATCTTTTGGTTTATCTTTATTCATGATTCATAATGTTGGTGGGAATGAGTGCATCGTTGTCTTTGTCACACTTGAAATGATATTTCATTATTTGTTTAGTTTTCTTCCAAACCAAGAGTTTGTTATTCACCATAATTTTATTGTGGTTGCTTATGTGAAAATTTGCATTGCATGAAGTTTTCTGATTATTATTATTGTTGTTGTTGTTTATTCGGAGAAGAAGTGTTGTCAGATCTTAATACTTGATTGAGAGCATGTATGTGAACAAATTTTTTAACAAATTTTATGTTCACCTTGATTTAAGCTTCTTAAATGGATATGAATGAGTTTTTAACAGATGGAATGTTGAAGTACCTTGCCCCAGAGAAATAAAGAGGGAAGTAAAAAATATAGGGAAATGGATCAATAACATAAACATGACGAGGCTATAATATCAAGTATAATTGATAATCTTTATTGGGCTATTTCTGATAATTTGAAGTCAAGAGATATACATCAATAGGGATAGGCCTTGCTATATGAATCAGGATTATCTTAAGGTATTCTTACATCTTTTTGCATTTAATCACAGGGTAATCTGCAGAATATATGTTTTCCAGACAGGAATATTATCTAGACAATTGAATGGTCTGTCTTGTCAAAAAAAATTGAATGGTCTGCGCTATTTCTGTTGTGTCCTACATGAGGGAATGTTGTGGCTTTGGAGAAGTATTACCAAATGAGTGCTTTACGTCTGGTTTATTGTCGGTACCATTTCTTTTTCTGTGTGTGGCATGCCCCTGCACCCTCCCCTTTTTTTGGTCAATGCATTTTTCTCAGTTGCTGAACATATGTAGGAAGCACTGAAAAGGAGGCTCCGTGCAAGAATAGAATATGCCAAGTTTCTTCAAGATACAGTCAAAGAAATGGCAAAGGAGGTTCAAATTCAAGGAGTGGAGAAATTAAACAGACTGCTGAAGATCTTGATGAATTTTTGAATAGGGTAAGATCCTATTTCACCGATGGGTATTCTTGCCTCTTTTCCTTTCTGCTATTCACCATTAGCAATTAAAATATTGATATTTTGCAGGTCAGAAGGGGTGCTGGTGTATCTAATGATGAGATTCTTGGTTTTGCCAAGCTGTTTAACGATGAACTCACTCTAGATAATATCAGCAGGTCAGTTGTAAATATTTTGTATTTGACACCAGTTGACTATTTAATTTAAATGTTGTGTCACTTTGTCATGTTTGTTGTATTTTTTTCTCTACCAGGCCTCGATTGGTAAATATGTGCAAATACATGGGATTCAGCCCTTTTGGAACGGATGCGTATTTGCGTTATATGCTTCGGAGGAGACTCCAAAGGTAAAATGTGTTTATCCAATCTAAATTAACTTTTGTGTGTACCTTGTTTTGGAATAACATATCAATGGAGTTTGATGCATGCAAGAAGAGTGAATGGATTATATCAGATCTGCTTATTGAACTTGTTTCTTGTTGTGGTTGCCTAAGTGGTTTATTTTTTCCTGACTTTTTTCTCTCTTGACCTTTATGAACTCATGAGAAGTTCTTTGCTTTTTTAGAGATATCTACTCATTATTTATTGGTGGTTCTCTTTTACCTCTTATAAAGTTTAAACATATTTAAGTTTATCCCTTAAACCACAACTTGTGGTAGTACATTTTAAAACCAAGAGGCTTCATGTTAAGTGTTCATTTATTTATATAGTTTTCTGATTTAGATTTTGGGGAGGGGGTGGTCTTCATTTTGAGAGCCCAGTTATACTGATTTGGAATATATAATATATCACATGTATAAAATTTGGAATTTTAAATGATAGGCATTCCCCCTTCAATTCTTTCATTTATATAAGAAATATGCTGAAACTAGATAGCAAGTGCAGTTTTCTTGGAATATAGAAGGCAATGGAATTTCTTAAACTAAGCAAGTTACTTCGTTAACTTTAACTTTTAGGAGTAACTAAGCTCTCTTTTCTAAATCATTGCAAATGTTTTTATTGTTACTATTTTCTTATTATAGTTTTTATATATATTTTAGGATTAAGAATGATGACAAGCTGATTCAAGCAGAGGGGGTGGATTCCTTATCAGAATATGAACTTCGTGAAGATTGTAGGGAGCGAGGGATGGTTGGAGCACTCTCAGCGGAAGAAATGCGTCAACAGGTGTTCTTTTTTATTCTTTTGTGTGCTTATTTACTGTTCCCTTTGTCAATTAAGTGCCCCAGACTTTGCAATATCCATCGCACTGCTTGGCAATGATAAGTTGTTTATGAGATATGCCGTGGTCTCATATATTGGTAGATTTCTGGATTTGCACGGTTCCATGTTTCCTTCAGCTACATTATTTTGTATTTTAATTACATTATGAACTACATTTGTTGTGACTCCTTAATATGATTAGTATCTGCATGCAGTTCGGGATTGGCTGGATTTGTCTCTCAATCATGCAGTCCCATCTTCCCTTTTGATCCTTTCAAGGTGATTCTAAGTTGTGTTTTATGTCGTCTTTCTTCAATGTTTTGCTAGCACTGAACAGTTCATACTCTGCTATTTTTTTAAAATCCAAATCTTAATTTCTGATGTGATATCCCCTTTAGGGCATTAACTGTATCAGGAAAGCTGAAGCCTAAAGATGCTGTTCGGGCTACGCTTTCTTCTCTACCTGATGAAGTTGTGGATACTGTTGGTGTTACGGCTTTACCATCTGAAGATCCTGTTTCAGAAAGGAGAAGGAAGCTGGAGTACCTTGAGATGCAGGAAGAACTGATCAAGGTTTGAAAAGGAAGATGTTTTATATTATTTTCATATGAATAGCCTCCTCTACTGTAGGTTGTTTACTGTTTTAGGCCTCCTATGTGGCTCAGTTGACCCTTCTTGTTGTGAAGGAGTTTGTTATAATCATAAGGCCTGCAAATAGAGGCCTTTAGTCTTGACGTTTTCTGCTTAGCTTTAAAAAAAAGGCCCAAAAGCAGCTTTCCAGGTGTGCGGTTCTTTGAATTTCATTGGTTGTTTTAAATTGGTACCTTTGTAGGAGGAAGAAGAGAAAGAAGAGGAAGAGCTGGCAAAGATGAAGGAATCTAAAGCTAGACAAGTTGATGTGGCATTGAAAGAGATGAATATCCCAACGGCTAGAGAAGCACAAGAACAGGTTATAGCAAGAGCAATGGAAAAAAGAGACCAGCTCTGTGAAATCAGTCGCGCATTGGCTGTTTTAGCTTCAGCTTCTGTAAGGATTAGATTTTAAAAATTTCTTCTGTGACAGTTGTTATTTTTGATTCCATTCTTTTGTTATCTTCCTAGAATTGCCACTTGGAATGTATCTTTGACTTCACTTTGACCCTCATATGCAGTCTGTGAGCGGAGAGCGTGAAGAGTTTCTTGGTCTTGTCAATAAGGAGGAATGCTCTAAACTTGACATTCGTTTATTTGGTTAGCCCAAAGAACTGCATGTGCATCATGTCAACATATTTTTTAGAGAAAATCGCCTCAGTGACCAAAAAAAAGTTATAATATACGATTTTAACCAACTTTTTTTGGATTTGCCAAAATGACCAACAAAATCGCAACGCGAAATAAAAATCGCAACGCGATCCCCAGAATCGCAAATCAGTTTCCAAAATCGTAACGCGATTATTGAAAATCGCAATGCGATAGTATAAATTCGCATTGCGATTTTCAAAAATCGCAACGCGAATATGAAAATCGCAACGCGAACACATAAATCGCAACGCGTATCCGTAAATCGCAACGTGTATCCGTAAATCGCAACGCGTATGGGTAAATCGCAATGCGTATCCGTATATCGCAACGCGTATCCGTAAATCGCAACGATAATCCGTAAATCGCAACGAGAATCTGTAAATCGCAACGATAATCCGTAAATCGCAACGAGAATCTGTAAATCACAACACTGAAATTTTGGGTATATAACACTGAAATCATAAACTAAATCCCTAAATCACAACTCATTCCATCTCCATCTATCACTCTCTCCGGCGACATCCGTTCTTATATCCAACGACATCCTTCCCAATCCGGCAACAGGTTTTAGTTTCGCAGCTCGTCTGTTTAGTAAATTAATTTACAACCATGAAATCATCTAATGTTGATCATGTTTGGATAGATTTGTGTTTTGGAGGGTCATGGGATAATGTTCATGGTGTTTTACAATATATGCCTTTACCCATGAATCTTCAACTAAAATTGTCTTTACAAAAGTTAACTTATGAAACTCTAATGCTACGTGTTTCAAATAAATTGAATTTAGAGCCCCTAAGTGGATTTAGGCTATCTTATCAGAGAAATGGTAAAGTTTATTTGTTAACCGACAATGAAGATGTTGAACGATTCATTGCTTACATTAGTGTTTCACAAGATGATGTTACATTGTATGTTGTTGAACCTAGAAGTAGTATTGTTGGGTCAGTAGCGGGTAGTAATCAACTAAGTTTTTCTCAAAACCCACAACCTTTCTCTAATCCAAATCCCAATCAACTTTCAGCACCAAATTCCGGTTTTCGTATTGACCAGTTAGACGATGATGAGCCAACAGAAAAAATTGTGAGTACTAGTCAGTATTCGAAATTTGGTCTTGGTCAATATCCAGACTTTGATATTGGTCAATACACGGATTTTGATGATGTTTCAGAAGAAGAAACAGACCCTGCGTGTAATGATTTTGATATTGGTCAATACCCGAATTTTGATGATGAAACAGCCGTTGTCGAAGAATGTATTGTTGATGATAATGAGGAGGAAGTTACGACTGTGAATGAACATGTTGAACATCCATTCTGTAATTCATATAATCCTGAAGAAGAAAAAGAAGAAGAAAAAGTCCCCGAAGAAAAGAAAATGCCACAGGCGTATAACTGGAATATGCCAGAATTACTTCAGATACCGGAAGAAGAGTTGGTAAAGAAAGCAGTTGATTGTTACACAAAAGTTATTCGTATCAAGAAAGATGATTGTTTTGATACAAAGGAAGACTTGAAGATAGCTTTGTATACGAAATGTGTGGAAGATGGCTATCAACTAAAAGTTAACAAATCAAGCAAAGATCGTTTCGAAACAAGGTGTATGATTGACAAAAACTGTACGTGGGGTGTACGGAGACTTAATAGCACGTGCACGCTGTCTGATGCGTGAACTCCGTCGTGCAAGCATAACCCGACGTAAAGCATCCACTCTATCGGGCCGCTAAATAATTAAATACAAAAATCAGTAAATAAACAGACATGATATTTAAACAGTGAAAACAAAGACAAATATGTTTCAAACTTGCATTGTATTCACCCAAGTCATTATTCTATCATAGTTCACAAAATGCATCAGATAACAAAGAAAAATATGTTTCAAACTAATACCCTGAAGTTAGTATTTGTCTTTGTTTTGTCTATTGGTTGAAGTAATGCAATCCATTCAAGTTTCAATTTGCAGAAGAAGAAATAGTTTACTTTCGCAACACGAAACTTAAAATCGCAACGCGAAACCAAAATCGCAACGCGAAATGAAAATCGCAACGACAGAATCGCAATGCGAAATGAAAATCGCAACGAAAGAATCGCAACGCGAAATGAAAATCGCAATGCGATTTTGGTTTCGCGTTGCGATCTTGTCGTTGCGATTTTGGTTTCGCGTTGCGATTCTGTCGTTGCGATTTTCATTTCGCGTTGCGATTTTGGTTTCGCGTTGCGATTTTAAGTTTCGTGTTGCGAAAGTAAACTATTTCTTCTTCTGCAAATTGAAACTTGAATGGATTGCATTACTTCAACCAAAAGACAAAACAAAGACAAATATTATTTCACAGTGTTAAAGAATACACAGTTTAGCAGAATTGGCAGCAACCGAACAAATTTACTTTCAACCAAAAGACAAAACAAAGACAAATACTATTTCACAGTGTTAAAGAATACACAGTTTAGCAGAATTGGCAGCAACCGAACAAATTTACTTTCAACCAAAAGACAAAACAAAGACAAATACTATTTCACAGTGTTAAAGAATACACAGTTTAGCAGAATTGGCAGCAACCGAACAAATTTACTTTCAACCAAAAGACAAAACAAAGACAAATACTATTTCACAGTGTTAAAGAATACACAGTTTAGCAGAATTGGCAGCAATCGAACAAATTTACTTTCAACCAAAAGACAAAACAAAGACAAATACTATTTCACAGTGTTAAAGAATACACAGTTTAGCAGAATTGGCAGCAACCGAATAAATTTACTAAGCAATCTAAGTGAAATGGCTAATCTAAGTGAAATTACGAGTAAATTTATCATTAAGTTAAATATGGAAAATCTTAAACTTACCTCGTTGCGTAGAGTATGAACCTCATTCTGCAACGATACTATCATCTCACGTAGAGCGGCAACCTCACCACGTAAAGTTGACACCTCCACACGCCATGCACCATCGTTATCGCGTAGAGTACCGATCTCCTCACGCAAGGCATTGACCTCATCACGTAACTCCCTTGACTCATCCCGTGGAGGTGGAGGTGGAGAACAGGGAGATAGGAGTCGTGGCATCTTTGCCGGTCGCCTATCATGAGGTGATGGTGGAGAAGAGGCTCGATGATGTGACGGGATAGGTGATGGCTCTCGTTCTAGAAGTGTATAGTCGGGTCGATCGGGTGATGGCTCTAGGTGAGGTGATGGCTCTCGAATTGGAGGAAGTGGATGCTGCTCATCATCCGTGCCATCAAAAAAACTCTGACTAGCTTGCCACCAATCAGTGGCAAGCTCTTCCTCCGTGGATGTCAGTCTTTGTAATGGAATGTTGGCCTCCTAAAATATAAAAACTCAAACAAAGTTAAACGTCTACTATTAATAACTTGTTTATATTATATGAAAGTATTTGTGTTAACTTACATTATTTATTGTCGCATATGGTATTAAGTCTTCCCAATCCAACAGAGTTTTCCTCTTCCAGGAAATAGCCCTGGGAATATCATTTGACGTTTTTATTGCATATGTACGCATGCTGGGGAAAGCCTCGAATATCCAAATCTACAAACAATATAATAACAAAATTAGTAATTGTTAAATAATTAATTATAATTTTAGAAAAATTATATAGAAATTCTTACCTTAAAGGCCCAAACAAAGCCTGACAAAGTGTATTTGGACCCATCGCCCCGCAAACTTTTGCGGTCATCAAAGGCAGACGACAACTTAGTCCAGGTAGCTTTCCATATATACGAACCCCACGGAAACAGATTCCATGCATTCAGGTCCTCTACCAATATTATTAGCTCCCGATGAATAGGTTGTCTGGCCTCTCTGCCTAAAAAGCCGGCATACACAAGTAGTAGAAGGCATACTCGGACAACATCGACGTCATCCATCCGAGTGAAACCAGCTTTCTTATTAAACAATTTCTTCAGGTCGTCGACATGTAGGTTCGGCTTCTCCATTGACTCATCCGGAAAAACCCGGGATAACCATGATGGGCGGGCGATATGACGAGTGTACCGGCCTACATCATCGTGTCCGAATCGTAGACCAGTGATTAAGCAGAACTCCTTCCGCCCAAAACAAGTATACGCTGGTGGAAAATGAAACCATATCTCTTCCTCACCACGTTGTATACTGTCGGGTAGATTTGATGTCATGGTCTGAAGCCATAAATGGGTCAAATTAGCATCTCCACCCGGATGTTGTACTCTCATCCATGGCCCGAAGCAGGTTTCCTCAAACAATTGTCTTTGAGCAGGTGAAAGCTTCGAAGCAATTGTAGTGGCCAGGCTGACTTTATTTCTCAAGGTCAATTGAGCCGAAAAAAATTTCTACAAAAACAATAAACATACCAAGTTAGATATACCAAAAACTACACTGTGAAGATATACCAAAAACAATAAACATAAAAAGTAGTAGTTTATTCTTGAAACTAAAATTTGCAACACTGTTTTGTCTTTTGGTTGAAATGAAAATCGCAACGAGAGAATCGCAACGCGAAATGACAATCGCAACGCGAAATGAAAATCGCAACGATAGAATCGCAACGCGAAATGAAAATCGCAATGCGATTTTGGTTTCGCGTTGCGATTCTCTCGTTGCGATTTTCATTTCGCGTTGCGATTCTCTCGTTGCGATTTTCATTTCTCTCGTTGCGACAGTCATTCTCTCGTTGCGATTTTCATTTATCTCGTTGCGACTCTTCTGCAAATTGAAACTTGAATGGATTGCATTACTTTAACCAAAAGACAGAACAAAGACAAAGACAAATACTAACTTGAAAATCGCAACGAGAGAATAGCAACGCGAAATGAAAATCGCAACGACAGAATCGTAACGCGAAATGAAATCTAAGTGAAATGGTTAATCTATTATTGAAATGACCAGTAAACTTATCATCAGTTTCAATATGAAAAACCTACAATAATGCAAACATTTCAAAATAAAAATAATTAAAAAAACTAACCCTCGGAGGTTGATTTTCCATTTCTGAATATTGTGAGGGATTTCTGACCGTGAATGGTTGTGAGGGATTTCGCCGGAGATGGGGACGGAAATCTTCGGAGATGGGGGACGGATTTCTTCGCCGTAGAGAGTGAGAGATGGAGATGGGACTGAGTTGTGATTTTAGGTTTTAGGTTATGAGTTGCGATTACGGGATTTTGTCTTAATATTCGTTTTTGTAATTTGAAAATAAAATACGCGTAGCGATTATAATGGCGCTTTAAATATCACGTTGCGATTTACGGATACGCGTTGCGATATACGGATACGCATTGCGATTTACCCATACGCGTTGCGATTTACGGATACACGTTGCGATTTACGGATACGCGTTGCGATTTATGTGTTCGCGTTGCGATTTTCATATTCGCGTTGCGATTTTGGAAAATCGCAATGCGAATTTGTACTATCGCATTGCGATTTTCAAGAATCGCGTTGCGATTTTGGAAACTGATTTGCGATTCTGGGGATCGCGTTGCGATTTTTATTTCGCGTTGCGATTTTGTTGGTCATTTTGGCAAATCCAAAAAAAGTTGGTTAAAATCGTATATTATAAGGCATTTTTGGTCACTGAGGCGATTTTTTCTCTATTTTTTAACTAGTTATGAAGTCAATGAAGATAGTTTACTAGAATTTTCTTTTTAGGGTTAGTTTAATAGATAGAACATAGTATTTGTGCAATGTCATTTTCTTTTGGTCTAGATGTTTTAAGTAGGTGTGAGCAAAAAATCATTTCGGCTCGAAAAAATCGATTTTTTTTTTCAAATTTCAAGTTATTCATGTTAACTCGATTTTTTAGTTGGGATTTTCAAAGTTCGAATAATCGAAAAACTGAAAATTAAAACAATGTCATTTTGGTCTTTTGATAAGTAATTTGTTTATTTTATGATTTGGTCCCTAGTTTCTTTGTTTCTTCAATTCTTCCTCCATTTTAAGTTCGTTTTCGACCAAATTTGAGTCATATGCTCCTCAACCACTGTAGAATACTTATGTAGCTTCAATTACTCTTTTTCACAATAAATTTCCTCTTTTTGCAATTAGTCCCTTAACTTTGCTTGATTTCCTTGTTTCTTCAATTCCTCTTTCGTTTTAAGTCCATTCTTAACCGAATTTGAACCACATGCTCCTCTACCACTATAGAATACCTATGTAACTCTAATTCCTCTTTTTTCAATTTACATTTTATTCAATTTGGTCCTCCGATTGCAACACTTTGCAAATTCTTTCTTCCCACCAGTTCCTTGAATCTTTCATACTGTCATCAACAATTTGTTCTCTGAATCCATTCTTTAAAAGAATAACATTGTAAAAATTTTATATAATTTTAGATGATATTTGATTTATTAAATAACATTAAAAATCTTACTTGCACATGTGGAAATTTTTCATATGAAGGAAGTATATACGTATATCGTATATGGTTAGAAATATATATACATATATTTTTAAATTGGAACCAATTAGTCTTATGACATTATAAAAAAATACATTTAAATTTGAACAAATATATTTGATTCGACTCAAATTTCATAAATTTGACTCTACTCGAAAATTTTAAATGATGTTCGAATGATAGAATGGTATTTGGAAACTCGACCAAGTCAAATTTTTTCCACTACATTTAACACTCACCCCTAGTTTTATGTACTGACTTTTCAGTTGTAACTTACTAGGTTATCAGAAAATGCATTTGGTATTTACTTGCAACTTTTTTAACTTGGAAAACTCGTTAAAGAATGATAAATTTTCTAATTTTGTTCGTATCCCTTATTTTCTGCTGATGTTAGATTTTGCCAATGTTGCCAGATAGAACTTTATAATAGCATGGTAGACAAAGAAGATGGTGAAAAAGATGCCATTAAGGCATATAGGGCTGCAAGAGAAAAAAGTGACCATTCTAGTGAAGTGTCTGATAGTGATAAGGTTTCTTCAGCGCTTATTGAAAAAGTAAGACATATTTGAGCCCAAGTTTTTTTGGCAATTTTTCTCTTCTTATCATATGTGATTGAAACGATAGTCTTTACCATTCTTACTACTCATTAGGTTGGTGCTATGCTCCAAAATCTTGAGAAGGAAATAGATGATGTAGATGCAAAAATTGGTGATGGGTGGCGAGTACTTGACAGGTGAAATTTTGTTTTTGGATTCTTTTCTTTTCTCATTTTTGGCTATGTCCTCAATCATCACACTTGGCTTACCACCACATTAGTTGCTGCAAGGTCTATGTAGTCGAATTTGTGAGAAATGTTCTATTCCTACAGGGATCATGACGGGAAAGTCACTCCCGAGGAGGTGGCTGCTGTTGCTCAATACTTGAAGAATACATTAGCAAAGGAGGGTGTGCAAGAACTCATCAGCAATCTTTCGAAAGATAGAGGTCAGCTTCACAAATCCTCTTCCTTTTTGCTTTAGCTTTGTCCTAATAAATAAATAGACAGGAATATACTTTTCGTTTAGGTAAATGTATATCAGAGTTACTATAAATTTGGCTTGTTATAGTGCATTTTGCTTTCCCTTCTATGATCGGTAACTCCGACATGTAATCCATTTCCGGAAGAGCCTCTTAGTCTGCTTTCATGGTTGTAAAGCAGTTGAAAGATCCATTTTATCCGTAGAGCATTATGATTAAGCAGAAAATGACTACTTACAAGTGTATCATCTTAACAATGGACAAGGTGAATCCGTATCTCGGGATGATTGAGAAAAATATGAATTTAGCTCAATCTGATTGGATTTATTAGTCGTAAATCCGCCTTTTTGCTGTTTTTATGTAGCATGGAAAAGGGTAATTCTTTTAGTAGAAACGCCTTTAAGTTACCTAAGAATTTAGATTGTATCACTTTAATGTTTGTTAGGGTGAATCATCTGATATATCTGTTCACATGAATGGCAATAATTATATCATTGTTTGAATGAAATAGATGGAAAAGTTCTCGTGGAAGACATAGTCAAATTGGGCAGTCCGATGGAAGACGACAATAGATCCGAGGAGGAGGGAAGAAGAATTTAGAGACTATAATCCGTTTTCGAGCGAGCTTCATTAATTATGATCGAAGGTGTAGTCGGTGGAATGCATATATATCTTGGCTTGGGGTTGCAGGCGTGGAGGTATTGAACTGGATGGAATGGGTCAGTTTTTCCATACCTTTTATTTTATGAAGAAAACTGGGACGAAAGGTGGTGTAAAAATTATAGGCTAATACTGGTAGTTTTTAGTTAACAAATGCATTATATTCTAGAAAAATGGTTATACTTGAATATCTTTTAAGCAGTAATTAATTTGGATTTTGAGTGGATCCACATCAGAAAAAATATTATTCAATACATAGATGGTTAGATTTTTAAATGGGTTAATACTTGTTTTCACTTACTTTCATTTTAATATTTAAATTATTATTTTTATTTTGATACCTAAATTATTAGTTTTGTCCTATCTTGTTCTAAATATTGATGTCATTTAATTAGAATGTGACATATGGCACGGTTTTATCTACTTCTTTTCAATCTTGTATAGGTTCTAGTGTGGGGGGAAAAAGTATATTTTAAAATTTGTAAACTGAATTGTTTATTAATTTTACTTATAAAAAATAGAATTATTTATGAATTTTAAATATTACCGGTGTATCATACTGAAAGATGTATTAATTCACAAATCATAATCGAAAAGCTCAAATAAATATAAAATTATATAATTATTAGTGTTAGTCAAACGTACAACGTAAGGTCTGTCAAAAAAAAACATACGAGGTTCAGCTCTATCACTGTATTTACGGTGAAAGAACAAAGAATCCTCAATATACAAATACAATACTCCATTCTATAAGTAGCGTGCATTATTCTTTACACCAAACCCTTATATAATGTACAACATAATATATTTATTTTTGGAAAATACAGCATAGAATATTAAAAATGAAGAAAAGAGTGATTAATTATTAAAACCCAAAGCAGCAGCAGAAAGCAAATGTATATCCCTTGCTATATTTTGAGCATCCCTTGAAACACCTTGCAGCCCTCTTCTTGAAAATCCAGCATTGTATGTCCCATTTTCCCCTTCTCCAGTGATCCGGAAAGCATTTCGTGGGCATCCCTTTCTCATGGCTTCCCTCGAGCTAAATTTGGACCATGCTCTTGTACCCGGTGGCGAAAACAATGGCATCGAATCGAGCCGTCTCGCCGTTTGCGAACGCAACGACGATTTTATCATCAATGCGTTTAATGCCCGGTACGACTTTGATTTCTCCGGCTTTGATCTTCCTAACAGTTTCGACATCGATGACGGCGGACCGACCGGATATTTGCTTGAGATGGAATGGACCCTCTCTTGGTATTTGAATACCATATATTGAGAGCGTACCATGTTTCAATTTACTAGCGGTCACTGTGATTGTGTCCACTACTTTTACTGGGAGGTATTGTACATGACCATTGCCATTTTAACCATCTCCTTGGTCAGCACATGTACCGGATTTCGAGTCACAATCGAAGTTTTGGCAACCCAATTCCAAAGATCATAGGCGATCTCCATGCCAGAGTTGCCGCAACTGACGACCAAAACGTTTTTGCCTCTATATTTCCTTCCGTTTCCATACTGGCTGGAGTGGATGCATTCCCCTCCGTAGCTCTCGAGACCGTCGATACCGTGGATCAAACCTTCGCTATTTTCCTCGGTGGCTACTACTAGAAACCTCGAGGTATACACCTCGGTCTCGGTAACGTCTGACACTGTCATGTTAGTGACCACGATCCGGGAAATTCCGAATCATAAACCGCTGACTCGACGGATCGGAGATATCTCGGGGCTATGCCAAAGTGTGAGACGTAGTCGTCCAAGTAGTCGAGGAAGCCGTTTTTGGGGACGTAAATTGGTGCATTTGAAGGGAAGTCCATGTAGGGGAGCCGGCAAAACTGCTTTGCCAAGTGAAGTTTGAGGCGATCATAGGATCTTTTCTGCCAAAGAGAAGCGTAGCAATCCTCTCTTTCGAGCACGATGTTTGAGATCGAAAGGCGGTTCTCCGACGATAACAACCATTGTTTCCTCCATGCTTTACTTTAAATTTAAGGGTACAATGAATACTACTAACGATGGATCAAATTCTGATGTCCGATTAATGTTATGGAAATTAAGTACTTAAAGACAATCAAATGTCTGTTCAAAAATGATCTCTGCAGCTTGTTATTTTGTTTTAAACCGATCAAGTAGGTACTCTAAATAATTCTATTATTTAGGTGACAACAAATTAAAATAATAATAATTAAGAACAGTAATTTTGGTAGATCATCGGCTGTGTGGAATTAGCTGGGTAAATAGGCTATTCAACTATATTTTGGACGAGTAAATTTGTTTGATTTGCTGTATCTGAATGGTAGAGTGTACTTGTATTTTAATTTTTTTATGAATGCTTAGTAATATCAATTATAATTATACAATCATATACGTTTAAATTTTAAAATTAAATAGTGTAATTATCTGTGTTTAATTTTTTTTTATGAATCAGAAGTCGCCTAAAAGTTTAAAGAGATTACCATCTTCAAATTCTTGAACTATACTGGTATTTTAAACTTAATATTAATTAAATGAGATTTTAAATTTAATAATGTTAAATAAGATTACAATCTGCATATATATATTTCCTAAGTTTAGTAAAGGCTTAATTATAAAATAAATGTTTAAACTATAGCGTTTTTCACGAATAAGTGCCTATATTATTTTTTGAATGATCTCGGTGCTTAACTACAAACGTAAACACTTTAGTTACTCAGCCATCAACGATGATAATTTCTTCCGTTAAGTTACACGTGTCACATTCTAATAATTTTTAAAATTTTAATTAAATTAAAAATTAAAAATATATTAAAAACACAAAAATTTTGAAATAATCCCAAAACTTTAAAAACATTCATTTCAACCCATAAACCTACGTCAGCAGCCTCCCTTTGACGTCGATGAAACTACACCTGACCTCACCTCCCACCAGTGATCAAAACCCTATGAAATCGTGACCGGTCGACAGGCAATCGACGACGGATCAACATTTTATATTGTGCGAACGCTAAGATGAAAATCACACGCGATTCCGACAGACAATCGACGACAACTACAACGGCGTATAACTAGGAGGATGGCAGGGACTATGTCAGTGGAGGTGATCGTGGCCCAAAAGGGGAGCAACTGGGGTTAGAGTTAGAATTTGGGGTTTTTAGGGATTTTATTTTTTTATAATTTAAGACAAATTAAGGTTTTTTTTATTAAATATAATAATATTTTTAATATTTAAAAAAATTATCATACTGTAACACATATCACTTCACGGAGATCATTCAAAAATAATTTAAGCATATATTCATAAAAATCGTTATAGTTTGGGCACTTAATTTATAATTAAGCATTCAGTAAAACTACTTTGTTAACAATTTCCCTTTTTAGCAATGTCAATTTTATATTTTCTTCCTCCTTCCATCAATATTCATACCAAACCATAACCCTCCCGAATAGGAAAGCTTTTGCTATGCAACGAGTGGAAACTCGACACGACGATTAACTCAGAAATTATCCTCCACTTTCACAGTTTTCCTTCGAACCTTAACAATGAAGTTTAACAGCGCTTAACTTGTCTCTGAATCAGAATCTGAAACCATGAACCCTTTGAAAAGGCCACTTTCGCATCCTTTCTTCAGATTCAACAACTCCAGATCCTCAATGAAAAACGCTTGTCAAACCAATCAATCATTCACTTCCCAGAATACCATTTTTAATTTCAAGTTTCCTGGTTCAACCATGCCGGTTTTCACCGCCAATTCATCTTCATTCTCAAGGTTTAATACCCACTTCCCAGATTCACAAATCAGGACCTTTTGTGTTGAAAAGACTGGAGTTTCTGCTTCAAATGACATCCCTGTTGTTTCCACTGTTAGTGGACCGAATCATGGTTCTCGGCCTATTGATGCAGGGTCTTCAATGAGGAAGCCAATCAGTTTATGGCCCGGAATGTACCATTCCCCTGTAACCAATGCCTTATGGGAAGCTAGATCAAGCATGTTTGAGAAAATTACTGATGGAGCTCAAGTTTCACAAACTGAATTAGTTGCAAAATCCCCTTCAAAGAGCAAGACTAGTACTGCTTACAAGTTTTCTTATGATTATATAATCAGGGAGCAGTACAGGAACCCCTGGGATGAGATGAGGATGGGGAAATTGCTTGAGGATCTTGATGCTCTCGCTGGAACCATCTCATATAGGGTAAGAATTTTCAAGAATCTTTTGTAAAATGTTATAGTTTTAATCCGTGGCTATATTAAGCTTGTTTGAGTTTAGACTGGTGACAATAGTTCATGAAATGAGGTGAAATATATGCATTCTATGATGAGCTGCTACCGAATTTCATACTTTCTATCATTTGTTGTTTGCTTTCGGAGTAGCATTGTCGGAACGATGATGGTGCAACAAGGCCTATATTGTTGGTTACAGCTTCTGTTGACAGGATGGTTCTAAAAAAACCGATCCATGTCGACTTCGATTTGAAAATCTCCGGGGCTGTTACATGGGTTGGGAGGTCATCAATGGAGATTCAGCTGGAAGTAACTCAATCCACACCAGGTAGTGTAGAATAAAGACTAGTTAATTTTTCCCTCCCTGCTTTCTTGCATGTTCTGTGTCTTTTTGTTTCTTCTGGTTCTAAATATGTCCATTATCCTATAGCAATCATGTTTAATCAAATATAAATCGACTATTTTTAGTTGAGTTTGCTGCTAGATTGAGTTGATAACTGTTCTGGTACATCGGTAATCTCGAAGTTGTTCGGGTTTGAAAGTTGCAATTGACATATCATTATTTGTGTCTCGTATCGAATATTTTCGCTGCTTATAGACACTTCACACTTGTGCTCCACTAGTTTCAATTTTGAGTTGAGGGATCCATGGTCATTCCTTTACTTTTTTGCTGGTTTTGGCATTCAAACTGGGTGAATTTTATCATCTTTCGAAAATGTAGGTCTTATATCAATGTTCACAGTTGTAACATTTAGATATAGCATACTCAGATGCTGCTGAGTGGACTGAAATTTATGCTTCACTTTCTGTGCTTCACATACAAAGCCCTCAAATGTTGGTGATATCCTCGTTCACATTGGTCGATTTTCTCCGAACTTCGGGTTGTGTGTCTGAA